TCGAAAAGTCCCAATCTATGTAGATGTTTCCTGAAATGATAATGCCCAGTGATGAAGCCTACAATTGTTTGAATCTTCAATCTTGGGAGCCTAAGAATTTCAGAAGCAATTTTTGCAGAAGGGCTGCTGATCATGCTTTTAGCATGTTTTTGTCCAGGAGAATTGCGCCAAACTTTGTTCATCTCCTGTTTTTCCCATTTTAGGACAGCCTTCTTTGTAGTCTTCATATTGATTCCACAGAAGGGTTCCGTTCCTATTGGATTGAAAGAGGATCCCTGTTTTGCGAGTTCATCAGCTCTTTCATTACCATCAATTCCCATATGCCCTGGTACCCAAATAAGAATGATTTTATTCCTTTTTGCCAGTTCTATTAGGAGATTCTTGCATTCCAGAACAATTTTTGATTTTACTTGAAATGAGTAAAGAGCCATCAAGGCTGCTTGACTGTCGCTGAAAATAAGAATCCGCTTACCATGGTAGCCTTTCTTAATATTTATCTGCAGACAGTTTACAATAGCAAGTACCTCCGCCTGAAAGACAGTAGCATACTCCCCAAGACCTTCAAAAAGGTTGAATCTTGGTGACAAGCCACAGACACCCAGTCCTGAGAGGTTACCTTTCTTTGATCCATCGGTATACCAGATTAGATCATCATTTTTTGTATCGATCGTGTTGTTATCCCATTCTTCTCTGGTAGGAAAAACTACTTCAAATGGTCTTTCAAACACGTACTTTCTCTCCATGCAGTCAGAAGGCATAAGGAGAGTTGGATGGTAAATTTTCTTAGTAATACTGGTATGACCTCCAGAAGAGGGCTTGTCATACCATTGATATTGCAATTTCATTCTATATGCAGTCATTCTGGCAGAGCTGCACATGAAGATATCTAAAGGAGTCAGGTCCAGAATTGCCTCAAGTGCTCTGGTAGGGGCCGTGGACATTGCACCTGTGATACACAAGCAGGCCAGTCTTTGCAGACTTCCCAGCTTATCCTTCACAGTTTTCTGTTCCACTTTACACCACCATATCACTGAAGCATATGTGAAAGCAGGCCTGACAATTGCTGTGTACATCCAAAACATCATTTTTGGTTGTAATCCCCAGTTTTTACCAAGCATGCGTCTGCACATCATTATGCATTTTTTTGCTTGATTGATTTTGTAATCAACATGTTTATTCCAGGTGAGTTTTTGGTCAAGAATTAATCTCGGACCTCTGGCCAACAGTCTTTTCCAAAGCTTTTTTTTTATAACTTTATGACTGGGAGGAGCCGAAATTAAAATGTTTGGAAAACTTTAAGAAAAAGTATAACACTTTTTTTTAACAGATCTTGTATAAATGACTTCTCTTTTAAGAGTGATATTTTAATTTACATTGAAATAGCTGAGAAAAAATTAGCGAGAATCGGACTTTTCTTCCTTCTTTTGATGGAATTGATACAATTAGTTAGTTGCAAGAAAAGTAATGTCTGCATTTGTTAACCAAGTTAATGCTGGTGGTATTAACCATTATTTACATTGGTGCAATGTGGGAGAGAATATTCCGCCAAATAACTTAATTCTGTTTTTCCTTGTCAAAGAGAACTTTAGAGAATTTGTTAACTGGAAAATCAAACAAAAAAATTTGTAAAAAATTTTATATTAAGTTTTTAAAAAAATGCATATCAAGCTCTTAGTTTCAGCCCTAATTTTTATTAGTAAAAGAATTACTTTTGTAAATTTATTTAAAGAGTGTATTTATTTATTTATGTTATTTTTATTGTTTTGTTTAAGGCGCTATGTCATGGTTCACAAAAGTCTCTAGCTTTTTGAATTTTTGCTGCTTGTTAGCAAGTCTGCTTGTGTATTTTTTTTTCTGCAGAGATATATCAAATTAACGACGTTGCACAACTGTAGTTCATAGCTGCTGAAATAATAAATATAGAGTGCTACTCTCACAAATTCTAGCAACGTTATTTTTAATTTGTCATATGTTTTTTTAAGAGTTTGCTTACATTTTCAAAAGTTCTGGGAGTGTGATTATAATATTTTTTTTATTAATTTTTATACAGTTAAAGAGTCGAAGATTTTTTTACAATATATATATCAAATGTCTTGAAAAATAGGGATATTTTCTACATTGTGAGTTTCCAGTATTATTTCATTTAAAAACAATTAATTAATACATGGTGAAAATTATTATTGTATGGTGAAAATAAGATAGGAATAATTTAAATAATATAATTACTCTGTTTAAAAAATAAAACATTCCAAACCTATTAGGTTAGAAAACAGGCGAAGCTAAATACAATTGGCCTAAAAAAGATATGCAGAATGCCAGCATACAATTTTTATTGAGATATAAACAGTAACTAAACATGATAGTGATAAGACCAAGCGCTTGCAAGTAATTAAGTTCTTTAACTTTTGCCATTTTTTTTACTGTTTGTATCTCGTAGCCAGCATATGCATTATATATGCCCTTTATAACTATTTTCGAAGTTTAAAAGTTTTAGTTTGGCTGTTGATTAAAAGGACCTAATAGAAGGTCATTTTTAATAGGCTTTGGTCTCACTTTTTGCTAAGCTTAATCTATTTAATGACTGATATAGCTTAAATTATTAAATAATTTCTGTCTATGCAATAGCCATATATTACTATGGGAAATCATTTTTCCTTTCCTCTAAAAGACTTCTGATGTGAAATAATTTGCGATGGCAATAAAAAGTTTTCAAACCTACTAACAATAGCTATAGAAGTACAACCTTTACCTAAAGTTATTGCAGCATTCCACCACAGACACAAAAGTCCTAGGTTTGGTTCTAGTCAGTAGTCAATGAGCTTCTCTTCCACACTCCACTCATTGGTGACTATGGACATTCAGCATGCAACTGTCTCTTCTCAACAGTTGACAGTACGACACTACTTCATCTGGTTTTACTGTTCAACTTGATCACCTTGGTCTCAAACAAAGTCAAGGGCAGAACTGTTCTGGAATGGGGACTGCACTTGGCCACGCAGCCTTCTATTATGTGAAACACTCACGACTGATAATGAGTCAGGTTTTCTCATTCACAGAAGGGTAGTGTGTGTGGCGGCTATTCCATGAAGCTTCCTATTTGAACTTGACCTCAAGTGTTGACCCGTTTCTATGGTGATTCGAGCATTCGGTTATGAACTTTGAAATTTTAGGTTCGATTTTTGTTGGAATTTTGGTTCGATTTTTGCCGATAAATTTATCTCTCATACTGATCTACTAAGTCAAAATTTTAATGTAATTTTTCAAGAAGCATCATAAGATTGAGCACCAGTAAAATATCTTGCTCATTTATCATCTCTTTGAAATGTTCATTTTTGTTGCTTATTAATTAGTAACTATTTAGGTTTCATACTATTTAGGTTTCAATTTAAAAAAAAAATTTTTTTTCAAAGCATTGAACAACAGATTTAGTAGTCTTTGTGGTTAATTAACAAAAAACAGCTATTGCTTTGTTTTGAAACACAGAAAGAAAAACAATTTTTGTTTTTCTCTTTTATGATCATAATTCATTTCCTTAGTTCATCTGCTAAAGTAACAATTTTGTTAACCAATTACATATGGCTGTGTAATATGAAATATATTTACAAAAGCACTCCTCAAGGGAATTCTCTGATAAAGTGTCTGTGACGCATGTGAGCGCATCTAATCCAGTCAATTCAATTTCGAATTTTTTAATGGGCAAACTCAATGTAGACGAAAAAATTGTGCGCCTGTTTCTTTTAGGATGAAAAAGAATCAGGTTGAAATAGAAATTTAGCCAACTCGTAATTGCTAACCCCAATGCCCAGAGCTCATTGACAGAGCACATTTTAATTTTTTATTCATTAAAATAACTACTTAAAAACAGGTTACACAAAATATACAGAAATATAAGTGTTGAACATGTATGAAGATGTCTCAATTGCTAGCTAACTAGAACTACTGATTCCTGCAGGGTGCAATTAGAACAACTGGTAAGGTTAAAACTGTATTTGCTGTATCTTTTTACTTGGAAGAAGCTTCCTCTTCTTATTTTTATAGGAAGAACTATCTCAAAAGAATGTGCTGCCCATAACAGTGTTTATATTCATAGAAATGTTAATAACTAGATAAACTACTATTTTATAACTATAAGATTATCCTCTGTGTGAAAGAAATCCCATAACTGTATCATTAACAGATTCCATGCATGAATGATTCCATCAGACATGTCTTTGTTACAATTTCTACAGTCCCAGTTTAATTCATATTACTATGTGTAATTTACTGTTTGACCAATAAATTAACTTTCAAAACAAGTTTGAAGGAAGAACAAGGGTTTCATTTAACCTTGATAGAAATTAGAAAAAAAAAATTCATACAGAAAATCTAGCAATGTGATTTAAGGATTTTTACTAGAATAAGAATTTCATTTATTTTTCACTTCAGATATGAAGAAATCAATCATCCAAAAACTGTTTGCCTGAATCTGTTTATAAGGCTTAAAATGTTTTAATTTTCAATGTAGGTTGAAAAAACAGTGGCACATAATTGGTATTGGAGTATAATTCAAGCAAACTACTAATATATTTTTCAGCAAAATTACCCTGCAGTCAGAAAATTTAGATTGGATATTCAATCAGTTGCGAGGGTTTTTATTTTTTTTCCTTCATCCTATGTGTTATATGGTGTTAACCCTAATAAAACAATAGATTGTATTGCTAATGTTTAATATGCATGATGAAATATTCTCTTGCATGGGTATTTTTCAAAAACTTTGTTTTTGTTTCAGTTTGTTGAAAAATTTTATTCTAAAACATTATTTTATGTATAACATTACTTATTGTAGCGTTAATTACCACTGCTATAAAATAATTCCAATTCACTTGTATATAAGGCATGTTAACTCTATTCTATCTTGTGATACCTTTTGATAGATGAAAGTTGACATCGTCGGCTTTGTAGCCCCACATTTACATGTTACTTCTTTATAAGCTACATTAATAAACGTTATTTCTTTGCAGGCTTTAGAAACAGGCAGTGATTCAAATGATGGCACCGGGAACTCTTTTGATACAAGCAATGATTTTGCTGATTCTCCGAATGTGACTATGATAGAAGATAATAGTAATAATTAAGCTTTTTTAAATTTGTTTTTTTGAAGGACCCGTGCCTTGCTATCACTGTTTGTGATAATAAGACTGTGATTATGTTCCACAGCTATTTTTCTGCAAATTTCAAATTTATAAGTACACTAAACTTGTCTGTTGTCTCATTTCTTTATGGCCCAACAATATATATTTCAACTATCAAGTTACTTTTATAGATGTTTTATTTATTCAAAAAATTGTGCAATGTGTTTCATGTGGCTGACTAAAGGGTGACAAGTGAATTTGCATTTTATGATTATTTATGAAAATTTTTTTGCTTAAAAATTTATACTCTTGTTTTAAGCAATTGATTTTTCTGAAATGAATACAAATTGAAGTGTGATTTTTTTTTTTTTTGTCTTACCAATATTTAATGGTATTCTTTGTTACTTTACAAACATATGCTCCACTGCTAAAAATAAGCATGTTTTCTTGCTTTTAAGTTTTTGAATTATTTATCTTGAATAAATGTACCAAGATCTAGTTTTTTGAGTTCAAAAATTTTTAAGGCAATACTTTAGATTTTTTAAATGTTTCTGAACGAAAGAGCAATTTTTGCTAGTGGGTTTATGACTATTGAAGCAATATATAGCATAAGATCTTTATAACGCAAACTTTAAAACCTGAGTCTGCATTGCATGGAATTTTTTGTTTTATTGATCATTACTCCTATTACAAACTTACCTAGCATTAATGGCAATATAATTTCTTATTATTAATGGCATAAATACATTTTTAAGTTCAAATACAATTAAACTCAAATATAAGGAAATTCAACATTCATTACTTACAGGTAAAGATTTATCAAGTATCTGAGAGAGAACTTTTAACTGGTTACAGACTGCAAAATTATTTGTTAAAAAGTAACAGTCTCTCAAGCAAAGAAAAATTTATAAATATCAGGGTTGCCACAGGCGACTAAAATGCAACTATTTGCAACTATTTTTAGCATAAGGCGACTATGGCAACTTTTTTTGCTGAAAAGGCTAAAAAAGCAACTATTTTCAGGAAAAGGAGACTATTGGGAGACTTTTCTGCATAATATGGGTGGAAAATCTGCACCCCCAAGATAGTTTTTGAACACACTTAAAAAATTTTGAATTGCAAATTTGAGTCATTTTAATTCCTTCAATCTGCACAGATTCCATTGTAAGTCTATTTCATTTCTCGATCGCCTTTTCAATTATTATTGCTGCGAAATTCCACATGAATCTTAAAAAGGAAAGAAAAAAAATTTAATACGACATAGCGATGCGTGAATTTCGAATTTGAGTAATCACTTTTCATATATATATGTATAAACATTAATGCTTATATGAAAATTATCATTTTTGCCACCAACTTCACTGAATGGATAATGGTATATGACACTTAAGTCATTAACAAAATTTTAGTCAATTTTTTGATGAATTTTTGTTCTTATTTAGGCAACTATTTTCCTAGTTTTTGGCTACAATTTTCATGCTTTAGGCTACTAAAAGCAACTATTTTGTTCAGTTTTTTCTGTGGCAACCCTGAAATTTATTAGTTAGCCAATAAATTTATAAATTTTTCTTTGCTTTAAAGACTGCCTTTTTAAAATATAATTTTACAGCCTGTGAACAGTTAAAAGTTCTTGCTCAGATACACAGTATTCTGTTTCTAGTAATTTCAAGTACTGATCTCCTTGGAAATTCCTTCGACTGCTCTTCTGTCCAAACTGTTGGGACCATATTTTCTAAATTATGGCTAGCTCTCATATTTTGATAGTATATGGTAAAACACAATTGTTCAAAATCTAATGACATTAGTTATAATTGTAAGTTCTTTTTCATCTTACTCCTTCCCAAAATTTTTTAAAACATGATTTGCATAGTAAATATTAATTAAGAGATCAAACGTTAATGTAAACTTATTTTAAAACAGTAAAGCAAACTAAATTCGTAAACTTTTTTTAAACTATTGACTCCATCTCATATCTAGTTATTTGTTTGCAATCTGGTTCATACATCTGATTTACACATTGTACTTAAAGCATGCATGTACTTAAATCCTAAGTATACAGTTTGTTACTTTCGATGTATCAATTATTCTCAGTTTCTAGCTTCAAATATAAGAAAATTACTGGTATTTCATAAATCTTGCATTCTATATTAGTGCATTTTTAAAACACAAACCTTTAGACAGGTACTAACCTGAAATTGATGTTTTTTATAGCATGAAAATAACAGAACAAATACTGCTGTTAGAAGGTTTTATAATGTTAGAGATTATTTATTCATAGTTTTTCTAACTATGCCAAAAATCCTTACATAGGTTGTAAAAAGATCTGCATCATAAATTAAAACTTTTAGGAAATAATTTTCTATGCAAGTAGCTAAGAATTTTGCTCGTTACCAGTTGAGTTTTTTTACTTGATTGTCTTACTAAATATCCTTACTTAGATACATTTTAGTTAAGAAATTTTTTGCCATGGTGCTGAATCCACTAGTTAATAAAACACATTTGGATAACCTTCTATATCAATAAAGTACAGAAGGCAATTAATCATATTTAAATTTTAATTCCTCTCAAACAGACGGAATATATGATTTTACTACAAAAACTATAACAGCTGCTCTGAATGTTTCTAAATTTTATTATGTATATTTTTCTTCATCTGAGCATTTATGCTGAATGTCATTAGTTTACATACAAATCTACATGGTAATTCAAAAGTAACTAAAAATGTTTTAGTTGTATAACTGGAAAACTACTGTATTTAATCACACCAGATGTCCCAGATAATTATTTCAATCCTTGAAAAATAAGATTCTAGATTTTTTTTTTTAAATTTACTTTTAATTATATGATCTTCTCTCTTTTTTCAATTTGCTTTTTTTTACATGAAAGTTTTATGATTTTCATTCTCCACTTCATTGTATTGAGATACTAAATACTTCATATATATTAAGATACTAAATTTCAGTCCGTTTGATGCTTTTGTTTTTGAGCAACACAGCTACTAACACTACCTACCAGATATGCATAAATTTATTTTCGACACTTAACTAATTTATTTTCTGTTTAACTTTATATTCATTCAGAAAATAAGGTTTGAGAAAATATGGTGGTTTTTTCTTACTCAAAAACACCATTTTAGTAAACAAAGATTTTTCATGTCTCGTGGTTCACATCATACCTGTTATCAGTGTGATTAATGTGATAATTTTTAGAGAATGCTGTTTTTATGCTATAATCTAGTCTATTCGGTTGGTGTAAATTACAGCTATATATTTCAGATTGAGCTGAAAAGATAATCTAATATTCTTGTAAACTATTAGAGGAATCTTTTATGCGGCAGTCTGCTGTCACATCTTAGTGATTACTTAATGATTATTTTCTTTTTCAGTCTGCTTCTTAAATTATCTAGTTTTATGTACTAGCAATTAAATTTTTACTTTTCAGATATACTCTTAATACTGTAGCTTTTTATTATTTTCTTGTATAAAATATAACATTTTTGTGAAGTGTTATTGATAAAGCATTTAAAGGGCATATTATTTTGTTAAAATGCTTCAAAATCATCGATAAATTATGTTTGATGCAAATTGTAATCATAGTGTTGCACTATTAATTAGTCTTGTACTTTATTCATTTGCTCTATAAGATATATTTATTAAGATGTGATAAATTATTTTTACCATAACACAATCTTTGTTTTTTTAAATTGCAGCAATTCATTTTTATTATTATTATTTTTACTTTATTTTAAAATGTAGTTTGACAAATTTTTTAATTCAAGACTTTTTTTGTAGACAATTTAATTTTGTTTAAGATCTTCAAAGAAAAGGGGATACATTGTTTTTGGAATTAGAAACATAGAAAGAGTAACAATTTTACACCAATATTTTATTTGTGAACGTTATTTCAAGTCATTTTATGTATCATTATTTTTATTTATACATAATTTTAATGTAAAAAGCTCAATTTATGTTTATTGTATGTGTTTTTATTGATATATGTAAGTTGTGGTCATTACAAAATATATTTGGATTTAATTATTGACAACACCCTGACATTACTTATGATAAATTTTAAGTGGATCACATTTGTTTTATACTAATTTTTGAGACATTAAGCGTGAATAAATGTTTTACCATCGAGATTTAAAAAATTATATGTAGAAACAAAACCAAAACGTAAAAAAAAAATTCCTTAAGCATTGAATATTGAAATTAACTAAGAACTAAATTTTGAGAGTGGCAGAAAGTTCTGATTATCACTTTTAATATTGCATATTACAGCAAAATCATCTTTGTATGAAGCTAGAGAGGTATCATGACTCGAAATGGTATCCTGTATGTATGTTTTGGTATGTTGACCATAAAGCTTGGTTTAAAAGTTGTTAACTCTCTCTATGTGAAACATACTATGGAGCTACAGTCTGCTCTAAGTTTTAAAAGTGTAAGATTTACTTTACAAAAAATTAGTAGTTAAATAATTTTTTTCTTCATATTTTTGTATATTTCACTTTAATGATCTGTGCCTAAGTATTTTTTTAATTTTACTTTTTGTGTATCTTGTTATGCAACCGGTTTGTCACTGTCATAAGTAAAGAACTGGAATGTATTTCATTCATTTGGGAGGTGTAGCCCATTTGCATTGCTGGAAAAATTTTTAAACTGATTTCAAAATGATTAGGTTGATGAAATTATTTCAGTCTCAAAATGAATATTGTATTCAAGTTATTTAATTACAAATATTTAAAACACATAATATATTGGAAATAGATTTTTTATAGAGTTTCAGCTGGATTAAATACTAAGAAAAATCTTACTTTCTTAAAATGATAAAGGGAACTTTACTTATCTATTTTATTAAATACATCTAATATTTATATCAATATTTAAATTTTAATTTGCTACTATTGTATTTTTTTATATTATGTACTGTTTCATAAAAGAAATATTAATTACTTGCTTATTTCTGTTTTGTTACATTCAATATAATTCATACTTTTATTCCAGTCTATCATTTAAGTATTTTGGATGACAGATTGAACATTACTGCATTATTACATGAGTTATTATAGTTTATTTATATTCTAATAAGATGTGGTTTATTGATTTTAAGTATAAACAGTTTAATATTTTATTTTGCCTAGTCAATCATTAGTTGCTTGTTTTTAAAAACGCTGAGTGAAAAGTTTTCAAACTCATTGCTAAACAGAACAATATTTTTTTACAATAAATCTTTGGTTTGAGCTCTTGCTCCACTCACAATGTTAGATTAGGTTTTAATTCATTTTTATGTTGTTGATAAAAAAACTCATATTTTTATATTTATTTCCAAACAAGTGCAATAAAGTTATTTATATGCAACATTTTAGAGTCAGTTATTTCTTCATTGTATTTATTTGACATTTTTGAAACCTAAGTGTACTAATACTTTGCGGCAATACACCAGTTGAATTTAAGACCAGTCAATTAACACTTGCCAATCAAACAAATCACGCAAAAGTATAAGCTAGCTATTGTACATTTATTTGTTAATTTTTTTAACTGTTGCCAAATGGGGAGATCCTCCTGATCGTTATGCAAATTGTTATTTCTAAAAAAAAACCTATTTAGTCTAAAATAAAGAAACGTAGCTGTGGATTTTTTTTCTTTAATTTTGTTTAATTTGAAGAGACAGGAAAATTAATTATTGTACTCTGAATTACAAAATTTCCTTTCTAAGCATGAAATGTCAATTTCAAATCTTTCTTCTTATTTCTACTACAACTGATTGTGCTCATGAGTTCAATGTTTGCTAGCCGAAACCATTATCACATTTAGGGAGCAAATTACTATATGGTATCTAAAATGATGACATTTTTGAATTCTGAAAAAAAATAACTACCGGTGCAACATGACGCGACCAATTTTTGCAAATTGGTCACTTTGGTCTAAATAACAGTGCAGTTGAAATGATACTATTGTTATTTTGGTTTTAATTGTAAAAAAATAATCATTTTATACCATTAAATACTCCTTAATTGTTCTTTAATCAACCTTGAGTCTAAAAAATCATTGTCAAAGTATTCAATGCAAAATAAATTTTGATCCGACCAAATAATTTATGGTATTAAAATTTGGATGCAAGAAGCCAAATACAGGGTTGTACAGTAAAATGATTCATTTTGAAATAATGTAATTTGAAGGAATAAAAACACGAAAAACATTTTTTATGTACCAAAGTGCTATTCTTATAATATTTTTCATATACATAATGCCATTTATTATTTTTTTAACAAAATGTCAATGATTTTTTCATAAAGATAGCATCAGAAAGATATACTTCACGTAGACGTTGACATTCTGATAGTCTTTTAGGGAAACTCTGAAATGTTTGATGTAGCAGGTATCTACACCGAGCATTCCAGAGTTTCCTCCACAGACTATTAGAATGTGTACATTGATGGAAAGCACATCTTTTCGATGTTATCTTTTAGAAGTAGATAGTTTATAAAATTATGTCTCTTCAAAATTTACCTTTCTGTTTTGTAGTTTTAAGGATATTTCGGAACAGTTGTTAGAAAAAGTAATTGCCTTATTTCATAGAAAAAAATGGAAGTTGTGTATGAAAATTGATTAAATTTGCTTCATATTTAAACATGAAATGCAAGATAATACTAATATTTAAGTTCTTAGGACATTTTATGAATATCGTTTCTGTAGGATCGAACTTTTTTAGACAAGAACTAAGCTATACTTGAGGGCTCTGCCTGTGCTCACCAATCACCAAAATGATGCTCACTTCATATCGTTCACGATATTACTTTTTACTACCAGACTAAATATGATCTCTCTTGAGTCAGTTGAATGCTGTAAGTTCGGCTCACTTATTCTTAACATATCTGCATTCCACTCACCCCGTGCAACGCCTGGCTTAGAAGCGAAGGAAACTCCAAAATGACCAAAACAAAGATTTTTAAAAAATCAAATCATAAATTAAACATCTTCAGCCTCACAAAACAAAAGTGTTGAACAGAAGTAGTGCATCTCTAATTTTTTAAACCTTATAAATTTAACATTTTTTTATACTTTAGTCACTGAACCAAACATTTGTTCAAAAGTAGTAGAAAATTCTATGAGTCCAAGACCAACTCAGGCCCGGACTAATCCCATCTCACTAGTGCTATTAGGTACAGGGTTGGCATGATTTAATTCATGATTAAAATTGCAAATTAAACCACCTGATTTTTTTTAAAAAATCATCGATTTAAAGCAACTGGGAATTTATAAATTCCATTAATTCAAACAAAAAATTTTTTTTAAAAATTAAGAATAAAAATTTTTGTTCAATATAATTAACAAGTACATTCTTTAGAGTGTGATTTTTTTATAAGTCTGATTTCAGTAACAATGTACTAAGAAATAATGAAATGGATGTGCTTGCAAATTATTATGTTACATACATATTCCTTTCATTACTTCTTTTAAAAAATATGTTCATTTAAATAAACTGATTTTTTTTTTAAATATTTGTTAAGTATGAAATATTCTTTATAAAATATCTTTAAAAAGTTCATTATTTTGGGTGTGATTATTTTTCATTAAAGTCTTATTTCAATGATAATGAAGATTTCATACTGTGAAATAATGAAAGGGAAGGGCATGTAAACTATTATATTTCACCATAGACTAAAAATAAAAAAAGGAAACTAAATGTGGATAAGAGTGGCGTGACATTTTTAAGTTATTATTTATAACTAAATGTATGTAAAATAATTTGCTGGCAACCAAAACTATTTTTATTATACCCATTTAGTCTTACGCTTATTTAAATGCAGTGTTTTTAAAACTTATTAAATATGTAGTTTGTGTGTACCTGTTCTACCTGGAACTTAAAATATTTTTTTAAGTTTTCTGATCTAAATTAATTTACTTTTCTTTAAATGTCGAATTTACAAGCAGTCTACCAATCTTTAACATTCATTCAATGATTTGTTTTTAATAATTAAATAATTTTAACCATTTTAGTAAGAAATTTTAACTATAATGTTTTTAAAAAATATTAAGTATTATTAATACATTTTATCACATGTTTTGGTTGGCAAACGTTAAAAAAAGTATCTGATTTAAATAAAATTTTAAAAGAATCCAATTTAAATCAAATTAATCTCATTTTTGCCAATCCTGTTTAGTTACAATTATTATGGATATAAGAGTGCTGCTTCTCAAGTCAAATGAGATGTTCAAAATTCTCAATTAATTAATAGTTAACCTTAAATTTTTAATTATATATTCGTAACTTGCTTCTATTGTTTTTAAGTTTTTTTTTTAAAGTTTATATATATGTATAAATATAAGTCAAGGATCTACAAAATATCAATGAGTCTGAGCCAACTTTTTAATAATCAGCAAACTATGGCATTTAAAATTTGCGTAATTGGTTTTGGCTTTTATAAAAATTATGCTAAAATTATTATTTAGATTTAATATTCCCTACAAAATGATAAAAAAAGTAAATGTTAAACTATAATAAGTTTTGTATCCTTATCTTGGGAAATTATAAATTTGATTTCAAAATTAAAATTCAAGTTTTAATCAAAGTTAGTCAACAGATGGGTTAACTGGATCTACTGAAAATAACCCAGCGAGCCACTAGTAGCTTGTGCTTAATATTTGTCTAAACCATGAAATATCGCTTGTAAAATCACATTTCTCGTAATTCATTCCTTTTCTTTGCTGATTTTTCAATACTGTATCATATTGTAATAATAAGAAACCCTATTTTTTCACAGTCGTCGCAAGGGTAGAAAAATTTAAAAAAGAGGAAAAATGAGATATATATAAAAAATTTCGTAAGATTATTAAAACTAGGAACTAAAACTCAAAATCCCATGTTTCTGAAAGCCCTACATTAATAAAATTAAACTATAATCCAAAATTGGAAACAAAATTTACTACATAAGGATAATAAAAAAAAAAATTATTAGTTCTAATATTTTATCTTATAACCAGCATTGAACAACCAACTCATTTTTGAGTTTACAACTATCTGTGTTCAACTCTGTTGACTTGTAAACTCGTCTTCGTGGAGAATTTTTTAACGGGACAGAAGCGCATTTAGGGGAGGGGGAGTTATAATGAGAGGAAAATCACGGAAACCTCCCACTGTTAGCCCCCCAACGGCAAGGGGATTCTTATACATTATCCCGTCCACAACTAAGGATCGTTTGTGTCAAAACTATGGCTGATTAGAATTTGTATCTTCGTATCGACTAGTTATCGCTGTAATTCCTTTCTGGGTCACCTCATTGAGAAGTGAGCTGCCACGGTTCTGTTTATTCTTATAAATGAAATTCGGAAAACCAATTTCATTAAATTGAGTGAAAATGTAACGGGATCCTTGGTGAGCCATTTTCTTAAGGACCCCGCAAAAGAGAATTAAAAATGTTTCTCCCAAAGCCTTGTAATGAAAAACAGAAGCCTTTCGTTCTGCTTTTCATTATAAAAGAAATAAGATTTAGGCGATACTTTCCATAATTTTGTATTCTTTATAAATTAATTATAATTGAATTGATTGATAAATTTTTGTGCAATCTTTGTAGCATCGAATCATGCTAATAGAAATGTTGTACAATAATGCGGAAGATGCAATGAATTCACAAGAGAAATTCCAAGGTAACAACAAGTTCTCGAAAATTCCTGGTTCCGTTTGAATGATACAGCGTGGAAAAATTCTTTTTGTTAAAACTATTTTTTTAAAAATCATGAAAGAAAAAAGGTAACTTAAAAATTTTTTTTCTTTTTGAAATAAAATTACATGCAAATTGTAATGAATGCAAATTGCAAATTGTAATGAATTGTAATCAATGATACGTTAATTATTATGAAATTCGAATTTTGAAGTTCTAAGTATATTTGTTTTTTAGAAAGTGCGGTTATTCACTAAAAGACGGAGACTGGAGTATGTATAAACTTCAGCTTTTTTTTCCACACCTAAATTGTAATTTTGTCAAAAAAATTCAATCTCTTTTTTCTTCACCTGTACTTTTCTGCCTTTTTTTCACTTGTTATATCAAAAATCATTTACAGTTATTATAGTATTTGCTTCGCGATACTAATCTATAATATAATCTAATCTATACTAATCTAATCTATATGTAATCTTCAAAAACTGCATGCCGGGATAGCCTGGTTGGTAGAGCACTCGGCCCATGTCCTAGAGTTCATAAGTTCGATCCCAGGCCGGCCGAAGACTCCCCGTGTAGTAAATGGTGACTGATGCACGTTAAACATCTCCACGTCGAAGTTTTCCATTTTCCCATAAGAAATCAATACCTCTGGGGGGCACTGATCAAGGAGTTTCCTTGCCTTCTCGATTGGTTAAA